AACGATAACTCATTCTGAACTATCTTCGGAACAATTATGATAGTTATAGTTTTACAGTTATAACAGTTATACAGTTATGACAGTTACAGTTTTACAGTTTTACAGTTAACTGTAACTGGTGCATGCCTAGATGGAAGTTAGCAAAAGTAATGCATAGCTTTGTAGCCCGTCAAATGGCGATTCGAATGAGATACAATTGAAGGATATAACTTTGAAAACCAGGGACTTGAAAGCTTCACCGTGAACGTCAAACTGACTCAGGGTGACTAAAGGAGGGTCTGAATTTCTAGCCTGAACACGTCATATGAGATCAAGCTCTGAATAACTTTTGTAGACCCACTGCGACGTGCGGAATCCGAATATGAAAGAATTATCTGCTAAAAGTGCAAGAGAGAAGAACTAAATGCCGTTTTATGTGGAATATCGAATTTTTGCAAACTGAACTGAAACTAAGTATGTCAAGGTTTTTTCGACGAAGGAAAGGGCTAGAATTTTTTTTAAAGGTGATATTCGTGATCACCATTTCAAGGGCTATCGACTTATGTTTCAAACAGATCTATCATCTGCTGAATCTTTGAATTACCCGCGCCTTAGCCCAATCTCACTCGAGACTTGAATTTCTTCTATGCAGATTCAAACCACCCGATAATATCCTTGAAATGAGATCGTAACGCGTCCTGGAAATACATCTGTATATTCAACCGATACTAAATGAATATCTACTGCTTGAGAATTCGATTTGGATCGAGCTTTGAGAGAGATATCTCTTTCGGCTTGATTCGAACTGTCTTTTCGTATGCAGATTATCGTCATGCCGCCTGAAGAGACTCTTCATCGAGTCGAAACGCGTCGTGGCAGTTCATTCCAATACCCACCCTCAACTGATTTTCCAAAAAACGATCTCTGGAGGCCTTTAGGTAGCGGCCATGGTCATAGTCAATAACCTATAGCCCACTAAATTCGTTGAAAAAACGATTTATCAGTTGGATCGATTCCCTCGTGAGTATAAAATGATCTTTTCAAGGTTCTTGCATAAAAGTAATATCCTAATACCTAGCTACATTTTTGATAGATCTCATGAAATCTAGATCAGAATATGAACCAAAAGATTAAAAATAAATATTTCTGTCATTTTGCTAAAACGACCTATTGAGAAAGACTACTATTCCTCTGAAATCAAAATGTCAGCATAAAGACCCTAGAAGGATTAGTCAGGTCACAAAAAAATAACTAGAATAAAAAATTTGGTAAGAAAGGATTATTTTGTTTTACACTTTTACTAGATTCCAGTGGAAGTATGTCATAGAAGTACGTGTTGATTATTATCGACGAAATGATTCCGCGGTCGTTTTTAATTTGTTATTTTTCATGTTTTCGATTTTAAAACTTAGTGATGGATAAAAATTGAGAATTCTTCATCATTAAAATATCGGATTATAATCGATTAACAGTTTTTTGGTGTACCATAAAATACGAAAATGATACCGTAGAGTGACAATATTTGTCATTTCTATTTGACAATCTAAACTGAGGGAAAGTAGAAATCATGAAATAATATTTGCATCGTTTTCGAATGACTAGTTAATATTGATCCAACATTATATGTGTATCAATTGAAACGAGCTTTCGAAGAAAATTGTGATCGATCATGACATCATACGAATTATTGTACAATATAAGAACAAAAAGAGAACCGAAAGTGCGAAAGACGTTCTCGACGTGCGTGCACCTTTAAACAGTGACTCTATCGCGCACTTTTCAATCATATTGACGTTTGATAACGTCTCTCGTAAAGTAGAACATCACAATCACGTTATTCTCTGTCCTTTGCTATTCTTTCTCTTCTCGCTATTTCTTTTTTATTGTTGTATGAGGTCTGTGTCTGTATCACGGCGACAACGCGGACGCTAGCAGAAAAGAGATAGAGAGAGAAGAAAGAGAAGCAAAGAGAAAAGGATAACGTGATTATGATGTTCTGCTTTACGAGAGACGTTATCAAACGTCAATATGATTAAAAAGTGCGCGATAGAATCACTGTTTAAAGGGGACGTCTTTCGCGCTTTCGGTTCTCTTTCTGCATTCATTCTACAACGACTCATATGTTGGAACACGTGAGGTGTGAGGACATACAGAAGATGATTAATTGAAGCATTTGTGCCGGGAATTATAAATATTGCTTATAAATTCAAAATATTAGTCTTGTCTGACAGAATTCATCTGTAGAAAACATCATAAGAATACTTTGGCTGGCCAAACTACTCTCCATCGCAATAAAAACATGTAAGAATTTTAGTTTTTAGATGAAAACGAATGAAAGTATCTATCCATAGATTATCTAAAGAATCATCATCATTTTCATCTCCGTCCGTAGTTGTGTCTAGTCGACGCCGAACAGTGAGACAATCACCTTCCAGCCATTCCTCTGCCATCATGCTCTTCCTTATCTTTACCGTGATGGCTCTCTTCTCAGCCGAGACTTCCGGTAGATGCGTTGTGAAGGGCACCGACATTCCACCACCTCCTGAACCTGAGCCGATCACCATCACCGAACTCCCGCTTCCACCTGTTACTTCCAACGACGCCGAGGGTGGTTGCACTTTTGATGTCAACCCACACGGAACTGGCTGCATAGGTCAAGCTCTGACGGCATTCCAATCTGGAGCTTTCTTACCAGATGGTCTTCACGTCACGGTGACGGTCAACTTCACCGGCGCTCCGGCCGCGCCTGATCCGGCTAGTATCTTTACCGGCGTGCAATCAATCCTAGTGAAGACCGACGGTAGTACATTTTCTAACGGTGGTGCATGGAAATGTATTACTTGTGGTGTGCCAGGGAAAAATGCGCTCGGGGGACGCTCGCCGACGATGGACTATCCCCAGACCTTCATTGACGGCAAACGCCTCTTGGCCGGTACGAACATTATTGAATGTACTAGTAATCTCATCGATGCTGCATGTACTCCAGACCAAGTTCACATCTACCCTATCCGCTGGAATACGACGACGAACGCTACTGGACCTGGTGGCAACATTCGTGAGCTGCGCTTACATCCGGACAACGTACACATGGGCTTCAATTCCTTTACAATCCTTAACGGCAAAATTGGCCAGTATGGCTACATGGGAAGATTGCAATTCAATCCCTTTCCGACTTGGGGTACGCCTCTATCTCCTCGTTATGATCTAGTCAACGTCTATCGACTCTTCGACCCTGAAGCCCTTCAGCCTGTCACTGTGGATCGGGACAACAGCAGTCTACTTCACATCAACCCTCAATCTGTCATGGTTGGTGAACTACGTGGCTTTAGTGGAACTGGCCGAGAGTAGTTTGGCCAGCCAAAGTATTCTTATGATGTTTTCTACAGATGAATTCTGTCAGACAAGACTAAT